ATTTCTAAATATGGTTTCAGTTTATGATGAAAAAATTCAAGAATTATCTAAGGATAACATACTTAAAAAATTATTTACCTCAAATGATAGTTTCAGTGTTAACAGTCTCTGAAAATTTGTCCATCAAATTATAATGTCTAACAATATCTAAATTTTACTTTTGTTTCTTATTACATGTACTACTAATATTTTATATTTCTTGGCTTACTTATTGTTTCATTTGTTATTGATGTTTGTTACAATGTACTTGTTGTTGTTGTTGTATGTTTATTGACCATGGATAATGTAATTCAATGCATTATTTCGTGCCAAATAAAATATACTATACTATATACTATACTATACTCATTTATCCTGGGCAAGATTTTAAACTACATCCGGTTGTGGAGTTTTTGTACTTGGGAGAATGAGGTTACCCTTTGCCACAACTACCTCCAGGTCACCCTTGGGCAAGGTGTAGCATCTGTCAGCCTTGGGTGCCAACTTCCCACATAATAAGTTTGGTTGACGTCAGTAAGGGCATACGGTCATAAAAACCTTGCACCAACTCAACCTCAAATGTGAGGTATTACCTGATAAAGACAACGTGTATGGTTTAATTATGTATATATTTATCCTGGGCAAGATTTTAAACTACATCCGGTTGTGGAGTCTATGGACTTGGGAGAATGAGGTTACCCTTTACCACAACTACTTCCAGGTCACCCTTGGGTAAAGTGTAGCACCTGTCAGCCTTGGGTGCCAACTTCCCACATAAAATGTTTGGTTGACGTCAGTAAGGGCATACGGTCGTAAAAGCCTGGCACCAACTCAGCCTCACGTCTGAGGTATTACCTGATAATGGCAACGTGTATGGTAATTTAAATATGTATATATTTATCCTGGGCAAGATTTTAAACTACATCCGGTTGTGGAGTCTATGGACTTGGGAGAATGGGGTTACCCTTTGCCACAACTACCCCCAGGTCACCTTTGGGCAAGGTGTAGTACCTGTCAGCCTTGGGTGCCAACTTCCCACATAAATGTTTGGTTGACGTCAGTAAGGGCATACGGTCATAAAAACCTTGCACCAACAGATCCGCATAGGTGGACAATATTTTATGTAAATATGTATATATACGTTTCAGTTATCCTTAGCATTTGGCAGGGGGGATCGTAACCTCTTGTAGTGAGAACCAGTGTGACTGGCCTGCCAACGGGATGCTAAGGTTTTTATAGTAAAAGTTATCAGTCACTTTCGTTAATGTAATTTCGTTTTATTTATCCGTATATCAAAAATCACTATACTATACTATACTATTTCAATGGAAGTATGATTCGTACGTGAATCCTAGGCAAATCGAACGTTAATCGAACCGTACGCTGTGTTCACACTCGTCGAATAGCAGGGTCACAACTTCATACCACCCAACAGTAGTAATAATGATGATTACAATTGTACAGTCAACGCCATTTCATTTATAGATGTCTTGTCACGTGACATCTTCATTTCGGGCAGTACAGGTTGAATGAGAGAAGAAAGCGTCTATCAAATTAACATCTAATTTCTTTTAAACCCACCAAATCAATCTATGCGCATAAGCTGGTTAGTATGCAAGGCTTAAAATGACCAAAGCAAAACTTCAAAAATGGCTGCTAATCACTACAGCGTAAAAAAATAATCAAATATCAGGCAATTTAGATGACTTGTATTTTATCACACACAAGTTTCAACATTTTTGTGCCAACTTTTCGTTTCGTCTGAAAATTTACCTTCTTGTTAAATTAATATGCAAATTACCAAATTATTATGCGAGGATAGACTACTAAAATAATTACAATAGTATTTTTATCCATACTAAATGGCATTGTAATCGTTTATTGTATAGATATCAGTACATGATTGAAGCTGCACAGTCTTACACACAGACATTGCCTCGACAGCATCTCCACCCATAGGCGATGTTAACACGGACCTTTAAACATATTTTTTTTTATTTAGAATTAAATAAGCAATATCGTCATTTTCAGATTTTCACTCAAAATATTATTGTTAACGGGCTTTCTGAGCGAGAGTACACCACAGTTTCTATTTATATACCTCTTTTGATGCTTTCATTATTGTAAATAAAAATCCCTTCAAACTCGCGGCCATTAATTCACCCAATACCAGTGGGCGTGCACAACACATTGTGATAATATTGTGTTCAGAAATTGACTTTATTTGGTAGTTCCTAACTGACATCATAATAATAACTCCCTTAATAACAAGTTAAAAATTTTCACTGGCAAATAGTGGAGCAAGAAAGTTTGCGTCAAAGCTCCACGGGGAGCCAGCCAAACAACACACGCCACAACCGCTAGAAAATGTTGGAATGGTGGGAAACTAGATCTGCGAGAACTGATCAGCTCTGTAAGTTGAACAAGGCGGGATTAAAATAGTCACACATGCCAAGATATTATGTGTTCTAATTTCAGCTACCAGCAGACTGCTGAGACCCTACAGTTATACGATGACGCACGTGTGGGGCCTTCAATAAGGTTGCTTTCGTCAACCTCTTTTAACGCGGCCTTTATGGGCAACTTTAATAACTATGCAAATGAGGCTGTTTTGAAGTTGTTTGAAAAAAATACGGTTTCCGGGCCCTGTCAGAAGGTTGACTCCTGGTGTCTTAGACAAAATATATGTGTATGATGTGGGACAGTGATCATTGAACTAAGACGTACTTTTAATTGTTCACCAATAAACCATCTATCTTTACCGTGTAAACAAATCCATACCGTTGGCTAAGATATAAAACGCATTTCTATAACGATTTGTAAAATATAGGGTTCTCTGACATTCTTATTTTTGATTTCACGTTTAATTTGAATATCACTAAATCGCGGTGCATATATATTGGCATGTACATTTCGGGTATGTTACTTGTCATCGATTAGTTTTGAATGTTGAGCGCTAACTGTCGATATTTGACTATTTAATTTTTTTAAAGATTTAATCTTTTGAATATTTGGCTTCAAATACTCTCACGCCACTTGGGCCTTCGTAGCAACGTATGGACATCAATGGCCAAATTCATTGCTTTTCAGGACGAAGGACTTAATGCCGATGACGTTTCTTTTCAAGGGGTGTAAGGTATCAAAGAAGGGTAGCTTTAAATTGCACCATCGTGACAATTCTGGCATGTGGCACCAGCGGACTCTTGCTAAACGTGCGGCCATTGCCGCTTCGGCGACTGAACACCTCAACAAGTCGTAAACACGTGGTTTACGTCACTGGTGGCATTTAGAGAGCACAGCAGGTGAAGTATTTCCAGAATAGCACAGAGGCCTGCAATGCCGTACACTGAATAACAACAACCCTAGTCTAGAGCTACATCCGGTGCTAGTGTCTCTTTCACATTGACGTAGTCGACACGATATGCAAAATATGCAATTTTTCACAACTCCTGTAGTACGCGGGCAACACTTTCCCATGCGTCTTTCCCGAGCAATGTCAATTACAACTTGTTAAGCGACACACGTAAGATGTATTGTACAATTAAACAAAATAATAAGAAAGATGTGATGAAAATGAGGGAAAGAAAAAGTATAGATAAAATATACCTGGTGAGTCTGTCTGTTTGGTACTTGTCAAATCGGTGAACTCAATGCCGTCATGTAATAGCCTACACACATCGGGCTTTGGGTGACCCATACTAAAATCCGATTTCTGTGTGTGAATACCGGATTCGAATTTACTGCTTGATTCTTCAGATGCGCTTTTTACTGGCCTCAGTTTATGATCAATTTTAGCAGCAGTGTGTTTGCTACATTCTATCAATGCATGGGGATTATGTTGGCCCGATGATCGGACGTTCAGCCTGCCGGTTGTACGATGAAGACTCTTTACTTCTTCGTTCGGATGATTAGGCTTAGTTCCTGTCCCTTCCTTTTTACTTGATGATGCTGACCTTGTTGGAGTTAATGTCACGTTGCTAGCCAAATCTGAAGTGTTCCTTTGCGCTGACGCCGGACATTCATGTGATTTTTCTTGCCGTTTTTCAGTTATCAATGTTTTCCCTTGTAAATGAGCCTCTAGTTTTTGCCTTTCGCAGATATACCCCCTATCGTTATAACAATCGCTTTGTTGCTTGCTCGCTCCCTTCTCCCATCGATACTCGACATTATCACTGTGAATGTGTTGTTTAGTAGCGCCAGAATACACAATGTTTGTTCTCGGTCTAAAGTCCTTACTCCTCTCCACGACCTCTTCGCTTGGTCCGAATGTTCGCTGACTTCTGCTAGGATGTACAATATCTTTCGATTGTTTATCAGAAGACAACATCACACTCTTCCCGCTGACATTGCTCTCAAGAATCTCGCTCCCAGGAACTACCGATATTAAAGCCCTAACGGCGCCAGCGATTTCCTGCTCCTTGCTGGGATATGGTCCTTCTCCCCCACCATCACCAGGACCGATATATTTTTTAAGCACGTCCCCACCATCATTATTATCACCACCACCAGTGTCTAACGGTTCTCCCGCCGCTCTCCAGCCGCCAAACAGTAAACCCAAACTGATGTAGTTTGCATATCCCCGATGCTGGCAGTAATATACGACAGCAGATGACACGGCCACCACAGCTACGGACACAGCGACTTGCGTGGTGAGAGCAGATGCCAAGAACAGTTCATATAAATGGAAGAGACTGAACAGAAACGCTTGCAACATGGTTACGTAATAACAGCCACCCTTATTTATCAGAACTTTAAATCATGCGAAGGGGCAACACAGTGAGCATGTAGTACCGATCTCACAACCTTCACAGACTGACTGAACTCTGGTGAAACGATATAAGGGCTATTTTTAGCCACAGTTTAATGTTTCATTATTGACGCATAGTTGCCCTTAGAGTCAATATAACTGCCCCGTTGAGTCGACGTCAGCCAATAAGCTGACACATATGATGTGGAAACTGCAGAGACACACCCCTTTCTCAACGAGTTTATTTTCGACTTATGGTCTTGCATTCCATCACTAGGCCATCGTAGCTACCGTCGAATGACGTCATATCCGCCTGTATCTATGGCAGTCAGTGACCCATGTGTGATATGTTAATTTATGAAACGACGTAAAGAACTTCTGAAAAATAGTCTATTCCAGGTCATCTATGTGAAAAAAGCGACAAACTACAGATTCACAGGCTTGGATAAGTCAAGGACATGGTATCTACACGGGCATAAGAGATGCTACGTGCCAACTTCTGATTGGCAGACCCACACGTCTTAATATTCAACGTTAACTTTGGGTTGAAGGTGATTTTTCCACACTAGCCAGTGTTCATATTGACTAATCAGCGGGACAGCATACCAGTGTGAGCAGATTACGAATACTAACACACGATTTTGTTATCGAATTAGATCCAGGCACCCGTTGGGCATTATTAAAGTGTGCAGATGTGACTGAGAACACTGACTCTTTCAAGTACTGACGATTAGATAAAAGACCAACGAATAGTTCGTGGTCGTTAACAAGGTAGTCCAATATTTGCAGACGCAATTGGGATAAAAATGTGATGTATTTCTTAGGTCGTGAGACAACACATACATTAAGTATAAACAATGTACTAGAATAGCCAGTAACCGTGTCTTTTACTGTGGAATCAGTTGTGCATGTTTCGTATGTGTTCTTTCCTCACATGTAATGTAGTATTCAATTCAAAATACACGAACACCAAACGTATTTGATGGAAAGTGCATACAAACGCACGCTTCAGCGATGGGCCAAATCTCGATATGTAGAGTTAACGTTATTTCTCTAAACATAATACTATGACAGAACCGATTAAAAACAAGTTAAATCTGATCTTTCATACTTAGATTATCTTGTTTCCTTACCGCTTGTAATCCCATATGCGTGCATTGTTTGCATTCTTCGGTGTAAGTAAAATCAAAGTATTAATTAAATTGTTGTCATTATTTATGCTATAAAAATAGTTTATGTTTGGGGTAACCGAACTGTGACGCAATATAACTACTAAACATGACATCTTTGCTTTTATCGGATAACAAATCTTAAAGCGGGGAAGTCGTCACCTGCACATGCGTCTGATGGCCATAGCGTGTCTATGTTTACAAACAAGCGTCTACCCATGAGCCTTCGCGTTTTAGCGTGTGTTGTTATGGGCTCATACCACTAATTGAATTTCCATAGACGACAATGTTAACATATGACGAGATTGCTATATGAAAATGATGAAGAAAGTTGAAAACATGGCTCAAAAATGGAAAATCAACATGCCTGTAATCAACTATATGAAAAAAACTAGTTGGCCAGCTCAAACTCTTACAAATCTCAGGTAAACAAGACACACCTACTGTATTTAGATTGCACCTAAAGAAATCACTGGAAAAACACCAAGATTAGAACATCCAAATACACACAGAATAAACCCACAGGTACACAGCCGCTAAGTAGTAAACAAAAGACCACATGTTGGTCTCACCTTTGACCCAGGTGATTACGCCCTCAAACAGGGAGCACCTGAGAACAAAATATTTAAAAAAATTCATTGGTTCTTGCAAGGCATTTAGTTAATTAGTGGCATGAGACCTTATCGTCGCGTGAGACTCAATTCCCGCTTGTGCGCAGGTGACGACCCTCCCGATTTAAGGTGTAACTTGCCATTTAGTATCCCCTATAGAATGCAATTTCAGAGTTGTTTATGAGACCAGTATAAAATTAATCTGTTTTATGGGATTTATATAAATGATAGCTAATGCAAGCTTCAGAGAAATTATTAATCACCGCCTGATTACATAATTGAACCACGTATAACTGAAGGTAGTTGTTACAACTACTCTAGAACCAAGAAGAACGATCGAACGTTGTAAACTATTAAAGTAGTATATAAATTAATACACGCTGCTCGGACTGATAAATGTGATAAATGGAAGATAATATTTAGTAATCATAGTCCTAAATAACTATTAAAAAAAGCTAGACGTTTCGAGCAATGACTCTTTATCGATAGCATAGAAGAAAATTCTAAATTATTGACGTTGTGATAGCGCCCTCCTGTGGCGATATCATCAGATCCCGAATTTCGAAGCGAATGTGTACGGAGTTTTCGTTGTGCGTAGTCGATGCAATTTTTCCGAAGTTATTTTCGTCTGACCCCGGAATAGACTGTCTTATAAATTATCAAGCGAATTTATAACCCATATATATTTTATAATTCACTTTTACTCCAGTGGATTTAGGGTTTGACCCTGAATAAAATAGTACATTAGCGAATTTTGTTTCAAACGTTGGCTAAGATCATTCTGAATGACCAAAAAAACAAAAACAAAACCCAAGACCTAAACTGTTAGAGCATGCTGAAGATTCATTGTTTTTAGCACTGATTTTACCTACCGCAGATATAAAACTATGCAATAACCTCTAAATACCATTGAAATGTATTACTGTATAGCAACAATATTTTGAAAACAATGAATGAAATATAAATCTGCATCTGTAACAGATCACTTCAACATGCATGATGACGTCATATACATGATGAAGTCATTGCTGACGTCAGAAGTCCGTCGACCTTGTGAAGCCGATGTCATTTGAAAGCTTAGGTAGTCCAGTCATTCTAATTTGATTTTTAGGTCAACCCGAACAAAATTGCAGATTGCAAAGCAGATTTAGCAACAATAGACATCTATAAACAACATATCAAAAGTCTACCAAAATCGGACAAAGGGATTTTTTTTCAGGTATTAATATTGCCCATATAATGAAAATATTAAGCATTTCATTGATGCAGTAAGACGTACATATACAAATGTAAATGGGATAATAATGGTCAATATATCCACATATTTACCACAGTTATCATATTTAGTCAGCTAAATATTTTTTTGCGCATGGTGAAACAAATAGCACCCTCTATATGCATGTACAGTGCCTCCAAGTGGTGATATTTTCAGAAATATACAGGGTATGGTCTTGTTTCATTGGCATTTTATCAGTATAAATTCTACACAATATAGAAAACTAAGCGATTATTGTTCATATATCATTTTCATTATTAAAAAACAAAATTTCAGGAATATTTGGGTCATATTTAGATCCATCATTCGCCAAATCAATGTGATACTTTGCTGCAGTCGGTCTCCATAACTCGCACCTCCCACAAATTATACATCTGCATTAAAAACATACAAATTATTCGTGTTTATCAAAGTATATGTGATTGTATCATGTAAAGATTGGTGATACAATGGTAATATATATGAAAGACACTTAACAGTTACATGTATGTGGAATGTGGCAATGATCACACAATAAAGGGGGCTCCGATCAAGGTTTGATGTGGTAATATCAAAAGAGCGATTGTCAAGACTTGTGAGGTATCGATTATATCAATAAATATGTAAAGGTTTGATGTAGAATGAGACAGTTACAAACTTACCATGATCAGACTTGTGTTTTGTCATACCTTCAATCTGTTTGGGATTGGTATGAAAATAGGTTGGTTGGTTGGTTGGCCAATCATCAAATCAAGTCAGTATAATTCTAAGTTTATAATATTATAGTTGCTCATCATCATCATCAAGATCCAGATTGGGTGAATTTCCACATCTTACACCTCTACATTCATCACACGGGAGGGGGGGGGGCATTCTAGTCCATGTTTTTTACATGTGCAACGCGTCATTCGACAGTCTGCTTTACATTTACATCTGATAACTTTTAGTAATTTGTCAGGTGCAGGAGGCTTGTCAGTTTGGATAGCAAGCAATTGTCCCGTCTTCACTTTCCAGCCCATTATCCTGGATTAACACGAGTTTGTCCTTTCCACATCAGAACCTGGTGGTATACCCGTTGACTATGGTAACCTAGTGGAATATTCTCAGGCCCTACACATGTAACGCTTGTAGCAAATTTCCCAATTCTGAGTGAATCCAATGTTTCATCGGACTTGCTACCATATAAAAGGACCAAAGCTTTGGTCAAACACTGAAGCATGACATTGAAACCGCTTGTTGGCTTGGAATTTTTTCAAGGACAGACCCTTTCCTAAGCCATATATCGTGGATGTGGTGTCCAAGCCCAAGACTGCATGTATAAATAATATGTTTCTGGTTTTAAATACAGTTTGTGACTATTTAAGTTGACATGGTAGATCAACAACACTAACAAGTTCGTGTCCTCACCTACAACTACCGTTGGTGCATTGACAGCAGAGTCTACAGCTGTCATCACTATAAGGACATCTGCATTCAGCAATCATCAAATGTTCAATGCAACCCAGAAAACTCATTTGCACATACAGACCACCCAGTCTGAGAACAATATTCCTCACACTGCTATTTTAATTTGGCCATGCCCTTTGATAACTGCTTTTAATATTTAATATTAACTTTTGCAACAGAAACTATGTCCTCGGATGTGACAAGAACTTTAGGTATGGTGTTGTTCCACAATATCTCTGGTGTTATGGTCGTTTAAATGGTCTGGACATTATGGTTAACATTATCAGCTACATGTTGTATAAAATGTCCGGGTGTGAAACAACAAATGTCAGTTCCTTGTTGCAAGGTGGCACTACGTTCAAACTTCTGTACCTCTGCATATGACGAAGAAAACCCATGACTATGGAGAGAATCAATGAGAAATCGTGAGCCAATCCTATTTGTAGAGGAGTCACTATTACTCGTGGGCGAACTGACTGCATGATAGCCTGCCCTATGAATGCCACCTTAACGTCAGTAAAACTTTCAGGGTAGATAGAAGGTACTCAATGGTACCCGGTGC